AGCCAGGTCACGATCTCGCGGTCCGTGAGTTCGAGCCCCGCGTCGGGCTCTGGGCTGATGGCTCGGAGCCTGGAGCCTGTTTCCGATTCTGTGTCTCCCTCTCTCTCTGCCCCTCCCCCGTTCATGCTCTCTCTCTGTCCCACAAATAAATAAATAAATAAATAAACGTTGAAAAAAAAAAATTTGAATTTAGGCGTGACAGACAGCATCGCTTCTGCCTTGCTGTCTCAGATCGCTCACGCGAAGCGTCACCAGGACACTCGAGCAGCCTATGGGGAGGTCCATGTGGCCGGCACAGCGGTGTGAGCGAGCCATCCTGGAAGGGGGGGGCTCCCGGCCCCAGTCGAGCCTTCACGTGGCTGTAGGCCTGGCTGATACCCTGACCCCAGCGCCATGCGGCCTGGAGCAAGAAGCACCCAGTCCCGCTGCTCCTGGACTCCCGACCCTCAGAACGCGCGTGACATGATGAGCATGTGTCGTCTGCGGCCCACACCGCCTGTGGGGATCAGCTTTCCCGCAACAGACATCTAACGCAGTCACGACTGCCACTGGCTTGGCCATTTAGAGCCGGTCGTCCGCCACGAAGGGCAGAAGAGAAGGAAAACTATGGACACTTCGTGGACTTTCAAGGGGAATGGAAACGGATGCGGTCACAGGACACAAGATGAGGATTCAGCTGGCTTAAGACACAGGGCGCCACTACGGGCTACGCCGGCACAAACAGAGGCGACCGAGGACTTGTGTCCTCATTCCTCAGGCGGCAGTTTCATTGTCTTTAGAAAGGCACACCTCGGAGACCCTGCAGGTTCGGTTCCAGACCGCCGCAGCAGACGATGCTTTGCTTTCCCAGTGCACTTGAAAGTTACGTTTACAGCACGCTGTACCGTATTACGTGGGCAATTGATTTTGCCTTAAAAAAAAAAAACAACAATGTACATACCCTAATTAAAAATACTTTATTGCTAAAAAATGCTAACCAACACCTGAGCGTTCAGCAAGGCATAACCAGGGACCACAGATCACCAAAACGAAAATAACAATAATGAAAAGCTTTGAGGGGCGCCTGGGTGGCTCGGTCGGTTAAGCATCGGACTCTTGATCTCGGCTCAGGTCACGATCTCAGTTTTGTGACGTCCGGCCCCACGTCCGGCTCTGTGCTGACAGTGCGGAGCCTGCGTGGGATTCTCGCTCTCCCTTTCTCTCTGCCCCTCCCCCACCCACGCTGTCTCTCTCTAAATAAATAAACCTTAAAAACCTAAAAGAAAATAACGAACAGCTCTGAAACCTTGCGAGAAGCACCGAAGTGTGACGCGGAGACGTGGAGTGAGCAGATGCTGTTGGAACAATGGCACCAGCAGACTTGCCCGGCCCGGGACTGCCACAAAACTTCAACCTGTACGAGCCGCGGTACCCGCAGAGCGCAAGGGGACCAGGCGTCCTTGTGCAGCAGTCTGCTCTGTCGCTCCGAGAACATTTCTCCATCCGCACCGTCTAGACCGCTGCTGTTTAGGGAGGCCTCGTGTTCTGGCTCTACCATATGGATCATCAAAGCGAATTATAAACTACACGAAAAGGGCTCATTTCTCAATGGGGGGGGGTTCTCGCTTACCTCGGACCCAATTTTGGCTCCGTGTAACGTGCCGTACCGTCTTCCTTCAATTATACCCAAGCTACTGCCTTCTTCGTAGCCTTCCTGATATCCTTCCCCATGAAACCTGTAAGGGAGAGACCAGCTTGATCAAACAAACAGGAGGAAGAGTGTCTTTCCTGGACAAATCCTTCTCTCCCACGTTACCCAGACTCAGCAAGGCGAGACACTGTATAATAGAGACAATGTGGAATGTAAGTCAGAAAGCTTAGGTTCCAGGGGCGCCCGGGTGGCTCAGTTGATTAACCATCCGACTCTTGATTTCAGCTCAGGTCGTGATCCCCGAGTTCGAGTCCTGAAGTGGGCTTCTCACTAACAGCGTAGAGCCTGCTTGAGATTTTCTTTCTCCCTCTCTCTCGGCCCTTCCCCTGCTCACTGTCTCTCTCAAAATAAATAAATAAATAATCTTAAAAAAAAAGAAAGAATGAAAAGAAAGCAGAGAAAGAAAAGAAAAAGAAAAAGAAAAAGAAAAAGAGCAACTGTTTAAAATAGTACAAAAAGAAAACTTAGGTTCCAATCCTAAGTTGGTCGGTCTCTCGCTGCAAGTCACTGCCCCTCTTGAAACCCAATTTGCCTCTTCTAC